CCCAAGGTCACAAAGTCACACAGCTGTTCTGCTGATGCCTCCTTGCTGCCTCACAGGCCCTGGCCGGTTTCCTTCAAGAACTCCATTCTGTGCAGACCTGTGCCCCCTTCAAGATCCACCACTGCTCAGCCCCACCCCCTGGCCCTAAGAGCTTCCAGCTCCTGCCCCTGGCTGACTTTGAAGCTGCTCCCTTGTCCCTGTGTAACTGGGAAGGCAGCCCCCTTCCTGTAGACCTAGAGCTGGAAACTCAAGGGGCCAAGGAGGAGAGCATCCTGAATGTCTTGTATTCATAGCAACAGCCCAGCCTGAGGTGGCGGGCCCTGGAGCCTCAGTCTTGCCTCCCAGCAAGAGCGGGGGTAGCTTCAGGGACAGTAACAACATTAGCACCTTGCTCTCTGTGAAGATCCCGGGGTTTCTGCACCAGTAGCTGTGTGGCCTCGGGTGACTTATGTACCTCTGGGCTTCGGGGTCCTCCTCTGTAAAGGAGGGGTAGGGGACGTGCCCTCATGGAAGAGCAGCTAGGCCGGAGCAGGCAAGGAGGAAGCTGCAGGTCGAAAGGGCAAAAGGTTGGTTCGAGGCCGGAGGCTGATGGGACAGGCCAGGCAGCGCTTCTGCCGGAAGAGGGACAGCAGGTGGGCGCAGCTGGGGCCCAGAACACGGGCGCTGCCCGAGAAGCTGCCCCAGGCCGCTTTCTGTGGAAGTGTTTTCTTTCTTTCTTTTTTTTTTAGGATTTTTTTTATTTTAATCCTTGTTCAAGTACAGTTTTCTCCCATTTACTCCCAATCCAGCCTGCCCATCCCTCCCCACTTCCCTCCCATTACCTCCCGCTAGTTCTTGTCCATGTGTCCTTTAAGTTTGTTCCCGTGAACCCTTCGCATTCTCCCCTGAAATTCCCTCTTCTCCCCGCTCTGGTCACTGTCAAAAGCGTTTTCAAAAGCGAATCCAGAGCCCAGTGAGCGCACGGCCCGCCAGCCCCGCCCTCTCCCAGCAGGTGGACTGGTCCTGGGGGTCCTTCCAGCGCTCTGCCCGCTTTCTCAAGCCACAGGACAGCAGGGCCTGCTCACACTGCGTGATCTCAGACACCACACGCGTGATCTCACACTCGTGCACGTCCACGCACACGCAGGTTCACAGATGTGCATCCACTTTGACAACCCCGGGTCACAACCGGACAGCTGGGGCCCACGGACCTCGACTCCGCAGCCGCGAAGACTCTGGAGATCCTGGGGTTACCGGGTCCCTAGACCTCTGGGGAGGTCGTTCAAAGCCCGGCGGGGACACGTCCTCCGTGGCCGGCTCCGGTGCAGAGCGACACCCCTCGGGAGGGCCAAGTCTGTCCCGGGCCCGGCGGCCGGGCCGGGGCCTCGCCTTCGCATCCTCCCGGAAGATTGGGCCACACAGGCCGTGGCTGCCCGGACCTAATCGGAAGCAGTGGCCCCGCCGCCTGTCCTGGCTTCAGGCCGGGGCCACAACGAGGCCGGGAAGAGGTCGCGCCTCCCGCTCTCCCCGCGCCTCCCCCCGCCGCAAGCCAGGTCCCAGCCACTTGGCGCGACCCTGCACCGGGTAATTGGGTCGGGAGGGAGGCGACGGGCGGGCGGCGACTCCAGAGAGACTACGCGCCTGTCAGCCGCAATTTGTCTAAGTGGACGGGACAGGCCGGGCCGCTGCGGGCCGGGGTCATCCAGGCCGCGGCCCCCACCCCAGCCAGACCCGGGACGGCGGGGGAGCCAGGCCGGGCCGCTGAACGGGGCTGGCTGGCGCCAGGGCTCCGGGAGGCGCGGGCCCGGCCTAACAGCCGGGGCTGGGAAGCCGCTCTGGGTCCGCTCTCGCCCCTGCACGCACACAGCACGCTGAGACCCGGACGGCACCTCCGCGGCTGGTGACACACTTAGGGCCGCACACGCGACCCGAGCTCAGCCTGGGCCCACTCAGGACGGCTGCGCGCCTTCACCAGCCGCACGCCAGCACCCCGTCACCGGGCGCGCGTCCCCGCTGCCACAAGGCCACACGTCCTCGAGCCTTCCGCGCGGGCTCACGCAGATGTGCCCCGGTCACACACACCACAGACAGCGGCGGGGCCGGCCCGGGGAAGGCCCTAGCAGCGGCCCTTGACCCCACAAAAGGTTAAGGGGCGCAGGGCAGACGGGCGACCCAGCCAGCTCCGGACCGAGGCACAACCCGGCCCCGGCCGCCCTTGCCCTCTTTGCCTGTCGCCGGAGCGCGGGACGCACGGAGCGCGTGCAGCGGACCCGAGGCGGGGACGCCCGCGCCCGCCCGACGCCCGGGCCCGGGAGAGCTGGGGGGAGGGAGGGGCAGCAGAGCGCGCGTCCCCCACCCGTCTGCGGGGCCCGGCCGATGCGAAGTGACAGGGGCCGGAGCTTTGTTGTGGAGCCTCGGCCGCCTGGCGCCAGCCGCCCCCGCCCGTGCCCTCCCCCTCCAGCCCTGGGCGGCTCGCAAGGCGCCCCCCGGGGCCTCTTAAAGAGACACGCACTCCCTGCCCTGGGGACCCCCCAGAGGCGCCTGTTCCCGGGAGGAGGAAGAGGGGTAGACCCGGGTGGGGGAGGGGCCGGTCGGCAGCTGGGCTGCGCAAGGCGCCGCTCAGAGGCCGCTGGAGCTTCCCCTGAGCGGGTTTTCGACGAGCCAAGGATATTCCTTGCGGGAGAGTTTGGCTGGGGGAGGGGGTGGGTAGGCTCAGAATCTTGAGAGTGGCTGTAGCAGAACACTCTCAAGATTCGCTGCGGGGTGCTGCGGGGCGGCAGGACAGGGCAGACGGCGGGGGCTGGCCTAGAAAGAGCCTGTGGCCGCCACGGGACAGGTCCGAGGTCCAGCTCCTGGGGCTAGGTGGGGTCGTGGTCCCCGAATGCAACCGCTGCGCCGCCGCCGCCGGGTGTCCTGGGCAAATAGCGCGGGCAAGTGTGTATCAAACTCCCTGGGCTATAACCCCTGGACCAGCTGCGGACCTTCCCCAGGAAAACGTTCAAATTGCACACAGTTAGGTGTACACACGTTGTTAAAAGTACGAAAGTACGTGCACACACACACGACTTTGCAAACGTATTCGCGGAATCCCAGGCCTCTGCCCGGATTCCCCGCCAAGGATCGCTGCCCTGTCTACTCTCTGGTCACCTGGCGGATGGCGCACACCTGTGCGCACACGCCCTTCCCCGAGGGCCACCTTCTGCCTAAGACTGAGTCCGCAGGCTTTGCCCGTGCGGAGCTGCAACGGGTCCTGACGCGGCTCCGCAGACCGCGCGGAGCGGAGTGGAAGGCTCGTTCCGGCAGAGACGAGGCACCAAGTGAGGAGCGACCCACCCAGGCGCGAGGCGGTGAAGAAAAGCCCTGTGGGAGCTGCGCCCATGTAAACGCTGGGTAGGGGGAGTTTCGAGAGCACCCGGGCCGCAGCGGAAAAATGGTCGCGTGGGTCAGGCAGCTCCAGCCGGCCCCGAACTCGAACTGCCGGGGCGCCCAGGCCTGGGTCTGCGTGCACGGCGACCAGGCGCCCTGAGACCGAGTGTGCGCAGCGGACGGGCGGGTCGCCTGGAGGCCGCTGGGTGCGGGCTGCACGCGACCACCACGCGGGCACAGGGCCCGCTCAGCTCACCCGCACTTGCACTGGTAGTGCCGGCAGGAGTGTCGCCCACGTCTAGTAGTGAATGGTCCGTCTTGTCCTTCGCAAGGCGACAGCCAGGAACCTGTCTGAGCGTCGGCGCCCGAGCGCGATTCCAGCAGGTGTGTGGCCGCTTCAGGCTCTAGGAGCCCACCTCACATTGCCGCTCCCGCTGCGCACAGAGGGCACCGCCACCCAGGGGTTGTGTAACACACACACAAGCACGCACGCACGCATCGTGGGGTGAGAGGAATACTGGGGCTGCCGCGAAACGAAGGCTGAACGGGAAGAGTGGGTTCGGCCACGGGCGGTGGGGGTGTTCGGTCGCAGGTGCGCGCAGCCACTCCGACCCCGCCGCCCCGCGCTGGTGGACTTGGAGAGGTGCGCGGGCGAAAGCCGGAAACTCTGGGAAAGCGGCGGAGAGCCGCTGGAGGACGCCGGTGTTTAGGGTGTGGGAGACTTGTGTCTCCGGTACCGGGTGCGGCGAAAATTCGTTGGGTTGCGGGTCAAGAGTCGGGGGCCCAGGATCAGCCTGCGCGGGGCCGCCTGGTGCTGGGCGAAAGGCGCCCTCCCTTCCCAGCCCCGAGGATCCGCTCTCCTGGCCCTCGGAAGGCTCGGGGCTGGGTCGGGACAGAGACCACTGTCGGGCCGAGTTCAGGGCTCGCCCGGGACTCCAGGTTTCTCCAGAGTCTTCACTAAGGGTAGGCGCGGGCTAGGGGGTCCCCGCGTTTCGCGTGTGCAAGGCCTCGAGTCCGCTCCCGCCCACGCCGGCCCCTCCAGGGCTCTGCCACCGCTCCACTCACCAGCTCCCGACACCTGGGTTCCGCTCCGGGACCTCCGCCGCCCGCGCCTCCCGATTCGCCCGCCCACCGGCCTCTCTTCCCAGCGCCCGCAGCCTCCCTCCGGAGTGCAGGGGCCCGGGGCGGCGCCGCGGCCGGGAGCGGGGTCGGAGGCCAAACTGGGGCGCGGGCCAGAGCGTCCGGGCTGCCGGGCACGGGAGGAGGGCGCCCCCTCTCCTCTCGGGGCCGTGTCAATGCTTTGCACTTGGGGCTGGCGTGCGGCTGGGGGTCCTTTCCCAGGGCCCGGAGACCCGGGCGGCCCCCGCCTCGGGCCCGTTCGGCGGGTCGGGTCGGCCCGCCGGCTTCCCAGTCCCCGCGCAGGAAGCCTCCGGCGCTGGCGCAGGGTGGGGGCCCGGGCAGGGGGAGGGGTCTCGGGGCTCGCTGGCCCGTCATTGGTTAATATTTTATTCTGTTGACATGTTTTCTTACTGCTGAGGCTTCCGACACCTTCTCCCCGGCCCCCCCTCCCGGCCGGAGCTTGGCCTGAGCTGTCAAAACCCCGCCCCCGGAGACCCACAATTGGTCCAAAAAGCGTAAAATCAGCAATCAAGGGGGGCCTGGCTCGTTAGCGCAGGGGATCCGAGCAGGGCAGGACATGTGAGATAGTCACAGTTTTCCAGAGATCACGACAAGATCTAACCAGTCGCGCGTGGTCCCCGGCGCCGGAGCGGGCCAGCCCAGCCCAGCCCCGCGCAGAGCCCCCGCCACCCCCGCGCCCAGAGCCCCGCGCCCCTCGCCGCGCGCCGGACGGGGAGCCGGGAGGAGCCGCCGCCGCGCTTGCCACCCGGGTCGCCCTTCCTCCTCGCGCGACGCCGCCCGGGCCGGGGGTCCGAGCCCCGCGCCCCCGGCCCCGGCCCCCGGGCGCCTGGGCCGGATGTCCCGATGAGAGAGCCGGCGCTGGCGGCCAGCGCCATGGCTTACCATCCGTTCCACGCGCCACGGCCGGCCGACTTCCCCATGTCCGCCTTCCTGGCGGCGGCGCAGCCCTCCTTCTTCCCCGCGCTCGCGCTGCCGCCCGGCGCGCTGGCCAAGCCGCTGCCCGACCCGGGCCTGGCGGGGGCGGCGGCCGTGGCGGCGGCGGCGGCGGCCGAGGCGGGGCTGCACGTCTCGGCACTCGGCCCGCACCCGCCCGCCGCGCATCTGCGCTCGCTTAAGAGCCTGGAGCCCGAGGACGAGGTGGAGGACGACCCCAAGGTGACGCTGGAGGCCAAAGAGCTGTGGGACCAGTTCCACAAGCTGGGCACCGAGATGGTCATCACCAAGTCCGGGAGGTAGGGCGGCCCGCTGGCCGGAGGGCGCGAGGGCGGGCGGGCAGGGGACCCCACGGCGCCCGTCGGCGCCGAGCCCCTCGCTCCGGGCTCCCGGCGCGGCCCGGCGCTGCGCTTAGCTCCCTCGGAGAACCAAGCGACTTGTCCCTTCTGGCATCGAGCGATATTTTAAGAAGTAAAACAGCAAAAGTTCCCGAGTGAAGTAGAACGAAAACATGCTCCCAAAGAATAGTTCCAACCGTCCTGTGTCTCGGCCCCGGCGGGTCTCGCGGGTCTCGGCTGCCGCTTCTCAGCCTCGCGCGTCACCTCGCTCTCCGTCCTCCCGGTCTGGCCTGGGACCCGGGGTCCCGCGCCTTCCGGACTTCCTCCGGCCCCGGAGCCCAGAGCGCCCCCCGCTCACCGCCGGACCCAGGCTGGCCTGCCGGGTCCCGCCGGCCGCTCCGCTCCCGACAGCGAGGTGGAGCGGGCCCGGGCCCGGGCCCAGGCCTGACCCGGCCGGGACCTTCGTCGCGGCCCCAGAACGAGGAGCTGGGGCTCACACCCCGCCCCGGGCCCGAGAGCCGCAAGAAAACCCCGGCCCCCGGCTCCCTCCACCCTCCTGCGGTTCAGCCGCCGAGGCCCGGGCCTCAGGCTTGCCCTCTTCCCCCGAACTCCAGGGTCAGGGCCTCGTTCCGGCCCTGCAGCCCAGTCCGCCCGCAGACCCTCTGGGCTTATTTCTGGGAGCGCCCGCCCCCAGTGGGTATACCCCGAACAAACTTGGGGGCATTCGAGAGGATCGGGTGTGTTTTCAGAGGATCTGGGTTTCTTCCCTGGACATGGGCTTCCATCTCAGCTGAGGGTGCGACGGTCGCGGACCGAGCACGGGGCCCTGCGCAGGCAGAACCGGGATTTCCCAGGAGTAACAACCGCGGGGGTGCGGGGGGGGCTCCCAGGCGGCAACAAGCGGGCAGAACCGTGACCACCGGGGACACGGCCGGGGAAGCCGAGGCGGTGGTGTGTGCCGGGGGCGTCCTGGGCCACCGCACAGGGCCCCACCGCACCGTCCCGCTCCTTTCCCCGCAGGCGGATGTTCCCTCCGTTCAAGGTGCGAGTCAGTGGTCTGGACAAGAAGGCCAAGTACATCCTGCTGATGGACATTGTGGCCGCTGATGATTGCCGGTATAAATTCCACAACTCGCGCTGGATGGTGGCCGGCAAGGCCGACCCGGAGATGCCCAAGCGCATGTACATCCACCCGGACAGCCCGGCCACGGGAGAGCAGTGGATGGCCAAGCCCGTGGCCTTCCACAAGCTGAAGCTGACGAACAACATCTCCGACAAACACGGCTTCGTGAGTGTGAGGCCGGCCAGGGGTGGGCAGGCGGAGGCTGCAGCGCAGGGTTGAGGCGGGAGGCAGGGGCTGTCCCCAGAGCCCCTGCCCAGGCCACTGCCCTGTGGCCTACACAGGCTGAGCCTGGGCCCCGGGGGCTCTGATCCCTGTAAGCCTGGGGAGCAGCAGGGTAGGCGCTGGCAAGCTCCAGGCTGCTCACAGTCTCTGCCGGGGTCAGTCAGGCCTTCTGAAAACCCTTCCTGGCGACCAGCGGCATGCAGGAGTGGCTGGGACTCCATTGCACAGACACTGGTCTTGAGGTGCTGAGCTTGGGAGACCTGCTGTGACCTCAGCGTGCGCTCGCCCTTCTCCAAGAGCCCCGTCCCCATGCCGCTGCTCCAGCCAGGAGATTTACAACTGGAGCCAGCCCCTAGGCACGCTCTCTGAGAATCCCGTCTCTCCTCTCAAAGGCAGATGCCCGACCTGGAGAGGGGAATTTGGGGGTTCTCTCCTTTATCGCCTGAGCCAGGGCCCCAGCGAATGGGAGGGGGCAGTTCAAGAGGCCAAAGGGACGGCCTGTTCCGAGTGAGGGCAGTCCACGGCCTCCGAGTTCCCTGTCTTCTCTCCGTGGGTTTGCTAGGGCTTAGCCATGAGCCCAGGAAGGGAGGTCAAGGGTGGGGCTGTGGAGGGTTTTTATTTTGTTTTATTTATTTCTGTTTTCAACGGAGATAATTTTTTTAAACGGAGAGAGAAACTGATAAAAGAACAATGAAAGGAAAAAATAGAATAAAATTATAAAGGAGAAAAAGACCAGGAAGACAGGAGGAAATAGCGGGGGAGGGGGGGTGTTGTCGGGAAAGCAGAACCATGTGAGAGACAGAACTGGAAAGGGTTCAAGGCCCTGGAGAGTGGAAATGCTCCGGCCAAAGCCTGGGGGCTGCCGGCTGACCCCTGTCCTCCCCGCAGACCATCCTGAACTCCATGCACAAGTACCAGCCGCGCTTCCACATCGTGCGGGCCAACGACATCCTGAAGCTGCCCTACAGCACCTTCCGCACCTACGTGTTCCCCGAAACCGACTTCATCGCGGTCACTGCCTACCAGAACGACAAGGTGCGTGGGACGGGGGGCGGGCCCAGCCCCCGCACTGATGCCCCTACACGCGCAGGCTCCAACCCTCCGCGCATATGGGTCTGCAGCCCCCACCCCACCCACCCCGCCCTTGACAGCCCGCTCCCGGAGCGCGTTGCCTCTCACCTTTAAGGGCAGCGCGCACCGAGACCTCCCAGGCTCCCTCCCAAGTCCTGGTAGACGTACACTCGCTCCCTGGGGCGCGCAACAGCTGGGCTCTCGTTGGGGTGGAGATGTTTACTTAGCAATTAGCAGAGACTTCGGGCCCGCGCGGACAATTTTACATTTCATTCGTTTATTTCTTGGCTCAGGGATGGGAATTTAAATGGAGAGAGGGTGCCCGAGGCAATCTGCCCAGGCTGTCGCGCTGCTTAGGAACCAAGCGCTAGGAACCTGGGGCCCAGCTTTCACTCTCCCCGGGGAGCCAGAGGTTGGGACAGGTGACGCAACCCCCAAGGCAAACCCCCTTTGGGCCAGTCCAGGCCCAAGTCCTCCTGGGAGATGCTTAGAGACTTTTCCTTCAGGCCAAAGTGCCTTTCCTCCTTGATGCCTTTCTACACCTTCTCTCCAAAGGGGCAAAGCGCCACCCCGAGTAGGTCTGTGTCGGTGTGCACCGTCCCGGGGAATGACAGGGTCCAGGGTGCTCTGACATCCTCCTCCTGTCTCTGTGAGCCCAAGTGTGAGATCGAGTATGCGTGCCCTGTTTGGGGTGCTAGGATGCGTGTGGACGTGCGTGTTTTCGTCTGTTCTGGGGGCACTGGTTTTTTCTGTATGTACTTGCCTGTGCGTGGGTCTGCGAGTGTGACTTGTTTTTTTCCCGTGTCTACGGACCTGCTGGGCTCGTCGCGCGCCTGAGCCTGCGTGCGTGCTGGGGCAGACTCGCCTCTGTGCCCACAGCTCTGGGCCTGCGTGAGCGCGCTGGCGATTCCGCCTCGGACACTTTGCAGGAGGAGAGACGCTGTCGCTTTCCGCGAGGCCCGCCCGCCGGCCTCACCTCGCCTTTGGGTTCAGAGCTGCCCATCCCAGGTGGGCGGGTACCAAGCAGACACTCCCGGGCTCTCCTGTGCCGGCCGGCAGCCGCTGACCTCGGGGTGACCCAGGCCAGGCTCGAAGAACCGCATCCTGACCTGGTGCCGCCCCCTCGGTCCCCGCAGATCACTCAGCTGAAGATCGACAACAACCCGTTTGCCAAGGGCTTCCGGGACACCGGGAACGGCAGGAGGGAGAAAAGGTGAGGGCCGCTCCGGGCCGCCCCGCGGCGGGTGCCTGGGGAGCGGCACGTGAGGGTGGGCGCGCTCCGCTCTGACCCTCGCCCTCCGTTCCTCCCCAGGAAGCAGCTGACGCTGCCGTCTCTGCGCCTGTACGAGGAGCACTGCAAGCCGGAGCGCGACGGCGCCGAATCCGACGCCTCGTCCTGCGACCCTCCCCCCGCACGGGAACCGCCGCCGTCCCCGGGGGCAGCGCCCAGTCCGCTCCGCCTGCACCGGACCAGAGGTGAGGGTCGGGCGGTCGGACCAGGGGTGGGGCGAGGAGAAAGGGAGGGTATCCTCCGGGCGCCGGCTGGCTCCGTGCTCGACGTCGGGCTAACCCTCTAGGCCCGGAGAAGCGTGCAGTGTGTCTGGGTTGGGGCTTCCCACGTGGACGCCGGGTTAAGGACCGTCCCTCGTAGTCAGAGGATCCGGCTGGACCCCAGGCTGGGTCCCCGGTGCTTTGTGACTCCTCAGTAAAGGGAACTCCACAGGGCTCGGCTCCCCCACTGTATTCAGGAGACTTGGATTAGGTGACCTGTCGCTGCCCCTTGCCCGACGAGGATCTAGAAGCCATCGACTTGCCCTCCCCGACAACAGGCCTTTCCAAGTCTCTCCGACGCGCCCCAGACCCCGGAAGGAGCCTTCGCGCCTTCCCAAGCCCCCGTAACCCCATGCTTCCCCTCTTCCTGCAGCCGAGGATAAGTCGTTCGCTGCAGACAGTGACCCAGAACCCGAGAGGCTGAGCGAGGAGCGCGCGGGACCCGCGCTCGGCCGCAGCCCGGCGCTGGACGGCAGCAGCCCCGCCCGCTTGACCGAACCTGAGCGCGCCCGGGAACGGCGCAGCCCGGAGAGGGGCAAGGAGGCGGCGGAGGGCGGCGGGGACGGCCCCTTTGGTCTGCGGACCCTAGAGAAGGAGCGGGCCGAAGGCCGGCGGAAGGACGAGGGACGCAAGGAGGCGGGTGAGGGCAAGGAGCCCAGCCTGGCACCGCTGGTGGTGCAGACAGACAGCGCGTCCCCCCTGGGCGCCGGCCACCTCCCGGGACTGGCTTTCTCCGGCCATCTTCACGGGCAGCAGTTTTTCGGGCCACTGGGAGCTGGCCAGCCGCTCTTTCTGCACCCGGGACAGTTCGCCATGGGCCCTGGAGCCTTCTCCGCCATGGGCATGGGTCACCTGCTGGCCTCGGTGGCGGGCGGCAGTGGCAATAGCGGAGGCGGCGGGCCCGGGGCCACCACCGGGCTGGACGCAGGCGGGCTGGGCCCCGCAGTCAGTGCGGCGAGCACCGCGGCGCCTTTCCCGTTCCACCTCTCCCAGCACATGCTGGCGTCTCAGGTAAGGCCTGTGATCTGGTGGCATCGGGATGGAGGGAGGAGGAGCAACGTGCGTTGCCGGGGTAGGCACAGGGCTTAGGGCGCTCTGAGATTCTACGGGCAAGGGCCCAGTCCTGGGGAGACCTGACGGGCGCTCTCTAGGACTCTAGGTTCAGGGATGCTCGGACTCTAGGTGCAAGGTCTGGCCGGGCGCTCCTTCTGACTCCTGTGTGACCTTGGGCAAGTCCCTGGGCCTCTCTGGGCCTGCCGCGTTCTCTATAACCACAACAGAGAATGAGGCGCCCATTAGATTCCTCCCCCTCGGACAGACTGGGGCTGCCCCTGGCCTTTGTGAAGTTCACTTTCCTGGCCTCCGGACGTTTTCCTTGGGGTCAAAGACCTTCTACTCACTGCAAATCCCTGAAAGCCACCCCCCCCCCCAAGGTGGCTGGACAAAGGGAGTAGGACATTTCGAAATATTTTCTGGACAACTGACCACCAAAAATGACCCATCTCCAGATGCCTTTTTCAGGCGCTCCAGGAAGTCCCCTGACCTGACAAAGGGCAAGGCTGTTCCTTCCCCCTCCTTGGGTCTCCTCACCCCCCAGCCACACATCTTTGGGAAAAGGAGCTCAGTTCCCCAGGCCCAGCTTGAAATTCTGAGCTCCCAGGGGAGAGTTCATTAAACTGTGGCCAGCAGCAAAATAAGGAGATCGGATGGGGAGAGCGGCCTCTTTGGTTGCTTGGGTGGAATATTCCCTGTGGAAAGATTTGGATTCTCTTCATTCATTTTCTTCCCTCTGAGGTTTCTGGCAAATTGAACCCTTGAGATCATATCTTACGGGAAGGAAAATAGGAGTTCAGGTCTGAGAAGGCTCCTTTGGTTTAGAAGCAAATATTTTTTTTAAAGTGGAGGAGGAGATTTTAAACAGGTTTGAAACAGAGTTCAAGGAGCGGGGGCTGTGGAGCAAGTGTCGGAGACACTAACAGCACATATCCAGGTCTCTGAGCTGGCAAGGAAGCTTCTGGAAAACAGAGTTCTGGGTCTGGAGGTGGAATCTGACTCCTTGAGTCTGTATGTACGTGAATGTCTCCTCCCCAGGCAAGTTCTGGTGAGGAGCATAGGCATCGCAGAGGTCGTGGAGAAGTCACGGCTTCTAGACAGGGCCTGACCGACAGGTGCAAGGTCAGGATGAGAACTCCCAGCACTCGGGAGGCAGCACTCGGTGCACCGCTAGTGGTTAAGGACCCGAGCCAGGGCAGCCCACCCCTGGCCATCAGGTAGAGCCAAATCCTGGGAGAACTGACGCCTCCCTCCTTCCTCCCAACTTGAGGTGCCAGGCCTGGATGCCCAGTAGGACTTGACCTTCTAGGAAGGATATTTTTTCATTTCTGACTAAGCTGCTGCTTTTTCCCCTCCCTGCCTGAGCCAGGCCTGAGTCTCCCTAGAAGCCCAGCGCAGTCAGCCCCCTGCCCTCCTCCCTGTACCCACACACTCTGGGGAGCGAGCCATTATTCCAAAGGTCAGATCCTCCAAAAGTCGGGCCTCACGGACTCAGGCGGTGTTCACCCAGGGTTTCCTGGCTACTGTGCTCTCCACAGGCAAAAGACTGCATTCCTTCCTCAGCTGCCACGGAGGTGCGGCCAGGAGTTCTTTAGAGCGTATTCAGGCCAGTTTGTGAACTGATTGGCATCTGTGCCCTTCTCCTGGCCTGGGCGAAGACCTCTGAGCAGGTCGACAAGCAGAAGGAGAATTTACAAAGCTCCTCCCCCATACCTGTGCTTCCTCAGCCCTTTGGGGGTGCCTGCAGGGCTGGGGAGGACACCGTTCTAAGTGAACAGAACCTCCCGAGACAGCCAGAGCTGACTGCTTGCCACCTGGCCCTGGCCCTGCCCCTGCGCTATTTCCTCCCTCCAGGCCTTTGCCTGCGCTAGTTCAGCCACCCGGAATGTCCTTCCCGCTACTCCTACTGGCACAGAGCTTGATGGTGCCAGGCCCTCATGTCAACCTGCAGGGAACCGTGGGCACATTGGCTCAGGTCTGACTGCGCTGTGTGGGGTCCTAGTGATGTGAGCTCTGGCCTTCTGTCCCTGAAACCGCAGGGCGAGGAGTCCTAGTTGTAGCGCCACCCCCAGCACCAAACTCACCCTCAGGGACACCTCAGGCAGGATGCCTAACCCTTGCGGTGTTATTTTTTTTCCCCAGGGAATCCCAATGCCTACTTTCGGAGGCCTCTTCCCGTACCCCTACACCTACATGGCAGCCGCGGCTGCAGCCGCCTCCGCTTTGCCAGCCACCAGTGCTGCCGCCGCAGCCGCTGCTGCCGCTGGCTCCCTCTCCCGGAGCCCCTTTCTGGGCAGCGCCCGGCCCCGTCTGCGCTTCAGCCCCTACCAGATCCCGGTCACCATCCCGCCCAGCACTGGTCTCCTCGCCACTGGGCTGGCGGCGGAGGGCTCCAAGGCTGCGGGCGGCAACAGCCGGGAGCCCAGCCCGCTGCCTGAGCTGGCTCTCCGAAAAGTGGGGGCTCCGCCCCGTGGTGCCCTGTCGCCCAGCGGCTCAGCCAAAGAGGCGGCCAGTGAACTGCAGAGCATCCAGAGACTGGTGAGTGGGCTGGAGAGCCAGCGAGCCCTCTCCCCGGGCAGGGAGTCTCCCAAGTGAGGGGGCTGCCCAGCTGCTCCGCTGCCACGAAGGCCTCCCGGGCTGCCTGCCCTTGCTGCTTGGGACCTGTACAGCACAGAATGGGTATTTATTTAAATAAAGGAGCAAAAGCGGGCTGCAGCAGCGGAATAGAGCCCTGACCAGCCAGCGGGGGCCAGGGACACTTCCCTGGGCCTCACAAGGAATCCTGCTGCCGGGATCACAGTCGCTTTGGAGCCACTGGACTCGGTCCAGATTTGCTCCGGTGTCAAGGTGGCATCGTCCGGGGGCATCTCCGGGTCCTGCAGCGCTGTGGAGAGACCTCGTGCCAGCCCAGTGGTCTCACGAGGAGCCGGAAGGTGCAGGGCCTCGGGGTGGGAGCTTCGGAAGGAGCCGCGGAAGGTCTCGGCCTCCTGCCCGGACCGCTGGGGAGTCGGGGGTGAGGGATGCTGGGGTCAGAGCCGACCGCAGTCAGTGCAGGCTTGCGCTGGGAGGGACCTGTTCCTTTCGTCCTCCCACGTCCTCCCCCCAAGAGACAGGCGCCCCTTCTACCCCTGGGTCCGCGGAGTGAGTGGCACTTCTGCCTTGAGTCCCCAGGGGGGAAAAAAAAGATATTTATGAAATAAATGGTAATTTGTGTAAATAAGCTTTAAGATTCCCAGAATATGCAAATTGGTATTAATTTATTCAAAAGTGTACATTGCTGTGTACATAATATTTAGAGATTAACTCATAGCATTTAAAAGTTTTTTCATTTTACATGAGCATCTATATTGTACAGGGCTGGCGGGCGGTGGTCCTCGGCTGCAGGAGGAAGGCCCGACCCGGAGGAGCTCCCACCCCGCCAGCCCCTCGGCCCCTCCGCCCGGGCTTCGCTCGCCTGGCCCCCGGGCTCCACCTCAGGTTTTCACTTTTCGCTCCGGAGTGAGACGAAACGAAAGAAAGAAAAGAAAAGTAAAAGAAAAGAGAGAAAACAATAAAACGCGAGAAAACAATAAAACGCTACACTGCGAAGTGAACGGCGCTGTGCGCTCTGTGGGCCGCGCGGGGCTGGGGCGCGGCGAGCGCGCCAGAGGGGACTGGAGGCGGGAACAAAGGGCCGGGCGCCCGGGGCTCGGCGGCAGCCGCCTCCCGGGGGCGGCCGCGCGGCGGGGCAGCGGGCGGAGCTGCGAGGCCGGGCGGCGCCGGTGCGGGCCGCGGGCTGGGCTGGGAGGCGCCGAACCGCCTGGAGCCCCGCGCGCTCCCGGCGCGCCGCGTCCCAGGCCGGGGATCGGGCTCCCCCTGCTGGCCACTCCGCTCCGCCCGCCGCTCTCGCGGCTCCGCGGATTCCCGGCTCTCTTCACGGCGCATCCGGGTGGAACCGCACCCCTTTTGGCGCCTCTGGGTAGGTGGGGCCGGTAGGGGGGGTGATCCCTCTCTCTCCTCCTCCGAGGCGTTTGGTTGTAGTCCCCCAAATACCGCACGCCCTAGAACTCTTCCATCTCCCTGTCTCCTGAACCTCAAAAAGAAACACTCCGTGTCAGGGCTGTCGACTCGAGTGGCAAAGTCCGGCCTGAAAGTTTTCCCGTGTGATTCATCTGCATCTCTCTTGGAGGTGTGGGGAGTGTGAGTCAATGGGCTGTTTCTTTCCTGCCTTGGTTTCCCGCTGGATAATAACGGGATCAGCTGGGGATTTCTCTGGGAGTCCCACTGTATCAGTCTCCAATAGGTGTGTGCCTCCCCCGAGGCCACTCCTGCAAGGACGGCCGCTCCCGCCCCCATGGCATCCTCCCGCTTCACCCAGGCAACGGGGATCTGCAGCCCCAGTACCAGCAGTGGGAAGGGGTAGGAGACGGGCAGGCAGTCACTCCCTCAACGCGCCTCTGGGCCACCCGGTCACTGAGCCCCTCCACTTTCTTCCCAGCCCTCCCCAGCCCTCCCCTCCCTCCGCTCTCCTCTCTCTTTTGGTGGTATCCTTATTTCTTTTTACATTCAATATTTTTTCTATGAGTTTCAGGTGTACAGCACAGTGGTTAGATAATCAGACAAGTCCCACCTGACACCGCACATAGTTATTCCAATGTAATATTACTGATTGTATTCCTCCTTTATGCGGCGCTTTACATCCCCATGATGATTTTGTGAGGACTGATTTGTGCTTCTCAGTCCCTTCACACTGCCACCCAGCCCCCAACCTCCCTCCCCTCAGGCAGCCATCAGGCTGATCTCTCTGTGAGTCCCAGTTCTCTCCTCTCCGGGGCCTGTGCCGCCCTGGCTGAGCAGGTTGTCCACCTTGGGACTTTGGGGAGTGGGAGGCACTGGCCCTCAACTCACAGGGGCACCAGCGACGGTGACACAGAGAAAGGGGAATAAGGTGGAGGTGGAATGGACAATGTCGGCCTCCAAGCACCCAGGACACCTTCCCGGGCCAACACATTTGCAAGGAAAGAGAACTAAGCCGCCTCTTCCAGGGAGGGAGCTGGCCCTTGGCCGCGCTGAACTGGCTAGGGTGTGGGTCAGTGAACTAGTGGGAGCGCTCAGGAGAGTGTCCCGGCCCCCAGAGGTGGTGCGCCAGCTTCCCCGCTCCCTCTGATCTTCAGGCGGGGGGAACAGGGGGAAGAACGGGCGGGGCATAGAGACCACTTTCTGAGCTCAGACAGAATCCCACGTGGACAGTCTACTTAGTCGGGGGGCTTTGGGCTGAAAAACCCCTCTAGGACTTGAAGAGCAGGAGCGCGCTCGCTCTTGGTTTCTCGCGGACAGCACGTCCAGGAGGAGTTGGGAGGAGGCGGCAGGCTCTCAGCGGCCTGCGGAGCGAGCTGCTGACACCAGGGGGCAGCACCGACCTGGAGCCGCGGGCGGGGTTCCAGGCGGGCACAGTGGGGAGCCCGAGGAGGGTCGCCGCGCGGCCGGGGCAGGAGGCGTCGCTGAGAGCAGCCGGGTGGGGTGGAGCGACACTCCAGGGTGTCGGGAGGCCCCGGGTCTCGAGCGCAGTTTGGAGACTCGACGCCCTTTCCCCCGCCTCCCGCTGCTCCCGTCCCCTCCCGGAGACGCCTTCGAAGCGCTCCGCTGGGTCCCAGCTGCGAACCTGAGTTCGGCTGCGCGAGTCGCGCGGCCGGCGGCAGGGCCGGGTTCCAGACAAAGGCCCGGCCGCTCCGTGGCCCAATTAAGCCGTCCGCCTTCCAGCCCTCTTTGTTCCCGGGGTCGCCAATTAGCCCAGGCTCCCCGGGCCCCGCCGCTCCGGTGCCCCAAGGCCTCCTTAACCCTTCAAGGCCTGGCACCAGGGGCCCTGGACGGCACAGTCGCCAGCGCACAGGCGTGTGTGTGTGGGGGGGGGGCGTATCTGGGGGTGACGGGAACTGAGGGGTCTCTGAGGCTTGTCGGTGAGCCGCTGTCGCCTCAGGTCTCTGGACCTGCGAGGCCTGAGGAGGAATGGTGCGCGTGGGTGTGGGGCTGCGACGGGTTCACGAGGCAGCCTGGCGACTGCAGGTGTGGCGGCTCCCTGAGACCTAGCGGCTGGGCAGCAAGGATTTTGAGACCTAGAGGGACCTCATTTCCTCTTCGGTTACTCCGAGTGTTCCGAGCCCGCAAACCATTCCTTCCTCTCCCACCCCCCACTCCCAACCGAGGGCTGCGGCGGAGGAAATCTCCGGCGTTCGTGGAGGGGTCCTGTCCTACGTGAACCGCGCAGAACTGGGGTCCGCCTCCCCAGCGCCGCGAACGCACACGCGGGGCACCCCTTGGAGCCACAGGGACGCGTTCAGCTTGGGGACACCCAGGACACCCACCGGTGTACGTCCCAGCTCGAGCGCCCCCCTCCCCGCCGCGCAATTTCCCATGTATAGGATGGTTCGAGAGACAGTGTCTGTGAGACCGAGGTTTAAACTCCGAGCGTGGGAAGCACTCAAAACCAGTACCCTACTCCGTCCCCTCCTTCGCGGTCCTCGACCCCAAAGTTTGGAGCACCAGTGGGGGGGGGGGGTAGGGGGCCAGCGAGGGGCGAGCGCTCCGTGCTTTAGGGACAGGGCCGCAGAGGGGAGACCGGTGCGCACCCGGGGAAAGGGGCGGAGGGAAAGGATCCTGAGTTCTGGGTGCTCCCGAGGGGGCGCCCTCGAGAGTGCAGCCTGGTCGCCCTCATTGAATGCGTTGATGCCCCTATCCGAACGCTCCTGGGACTCTGATTTGCCCTTGGAGTTCCTTTTGAGCTCTCTGGAGGCGCATATAGGCTCGTCCACGCCCCAAACCTCGGATCCCCACATCCGATGGCCACCCCCCTTCCCCCGCCCCTCTTCTCGGGACCTGTCGCAGCTCCCGGCCAGGAGCTAACCTGCCGCTGGCCTAGTCCGCGGGTCGCGGCAACTCCTCACGTGCCCACGAGATGGCGCTCCAGGCCAGAGGCGGGCGGCGGCCGGACAGGCCGCCTGCGGGGAGAGCCGGAGGTGGAGAGAGCCACGGCCAGATGGGCACAGAGACAAACCCACACTGACGTAGATCCAGGCCCAGGGACCGCACAGGCAGCCGAGGGACGGAGGCGCTCCGCCGAGCCCGATGGGGCTGTGGACGGGGCTGCAGACACAGGCATGGGAGTGCCCGAGGCACAGGGTGGGGCTCCTTCCTGGTGCTCGTGCTGCCTGGCGGGGCCAACGCCCGGGTGCGCGACGCCCCGGCTGCAAACACCCACCGGCAGCTTTCTGTGTGCCCGGCTGGGCTCGGCGCCCTCGCAGTCCCTCTCAGGGCAGGGGGCCGCCTCACTCTGGCCTTTCCGGCTTCTCAGGAGCCGGCCTATGAGTTTGGACCTGCCGCGCTCCAGACAAACTTCTCTGGCCCCGGGCGTGCGGGGGTAGGAGGCGGAGTCGTCTGGAGCAGCTGGCGGGTGCAGGGGGGTGGGGCTGGGCGGTCCACGTAGGCCCGGTCCCTCAGCTCTTCACTTTCCCCGCCCCATCCTCAAGGTCGACCTGGGGGATGTGCAGGATAAGCCCCCCTGCGGCGAGCCCTGCGACCCTGCTCACTTGGGGTCGGGCCTCCTGCGCAGGCTTGGGATCTGCGTTGTTCAGTGGGAGGTGGGAGGTGGCGGGGAACCGGGAGAGCATGGGGGTCAGCCTGAGAATCTCTCTCTTGGGTTAAAAGCTGCCAGGTCTGGGTCAGATTTGAATGGGGACCAAGGGATGTGAGGCCCAGTGGCCTGATCGCCAGTGTGACTGGGGCGGGATTTGGAAGCCTGATTCCAGCTGACCCTTAAGATTCCCAGATGAGCTCTGGCTCTCTTGCAGATTATCTCCGTAATTATTAACTACAGGCACACAGCCAGAAAGCAACCCAGTGCACACCGGCTTCCAGCATTTCCCGTGCGACACAGGCACCAGCTTTGTTGTGTGAGCTCAGCCGGGTGTCCGCCCTGCTCGGGTTCCAGCTCCTTCCCCTCCAGTGTACACCACGGGGTGGGGTCACACCTTTGGCGATTTAGTAGTTACCTGCCTGCGCATCTGCCGCTGAAGTTGGGGCGACAGGTACAGATCGAACTCTGATTCTAGCCGTGTGACCTTGGACGATGTGACTTTCTTCTCTGGGCCCCAAAATCCATGTACAGAAAATAAGTGGTTTGGACTAAAATCAAATTGATCTGTGAGTGATCAGTCGACATTGGTCCGTGTTCAGTGATCCCCAGCCTCCGATTCTGGCAGGAGACCCGGCTCTACTTTGACTGAGTGCTGGAGGAACCCAGGCCCGGGGGATGGGCAGAGTCACCCAGAGACCCACCCGGGCTGCTGTCACTGGGATTCTTGGGGCATGAACACGGCAGGTGGCCAGGATGAGTCACAGTCAGAAAGTCACATTCCAGGTCCTGAAATACTTGGGGACCGGCTGGCTCCCCCTGCCTGCACTCCTTGCGGGATGTGTTTATTGCCCCTCCTCCCTACACAGTGCCCCCGGCAAACTGCGGGAGAGGCACTGGCCAGTGGA